TTTTTCTAAAAATTTCATAGTAAATTTCCGAAATGTGATCTACATTTTTACTATGATCGGACACTCACATATGTGACCATGTGACATCTTCCCTGACTGATAAGGGACGCAGTGCAATGAGTCTCTAAATAAATCGATTTATTTCGATTTATTTCGATTTATTTAGAGCTGCATCCCTTATATGATCGGCTAATTATTTTTGAGATTGCTAATCATATAAGGGACGCAGTGCAACTAGTCTCTAAATAAATCAAATTAATTTAAAATAATTTGATTTATTTAGCAACCTGTTATACTATACTTTTATATGATTGGCTAATCATTTTTGAGATTGCTAATCATATAAGGGACGCAGTGCAATGAGTCTCTAAATAAATCGATTTATTTCGATTTATTTCGATTTATTTAGAGCTGCGTCTCTTATATGATCGGCTAATCAATTTTGAGATTGCTAATCATATAAGGGACGCAGTGCAACTAGTCTCTAAATAAATCGGCTTCGTTTTCTTAAGAAAAACCTCTATAGTAAACGATTGAAAAATACTCATATCTCATGATCTATCCAACCGATTTTGATGGTTTACTACCATTAGAATCAGAAAAATTAGCTTTACAACTTTATTATAAGCTAAAAGAAAAGTTACTTAATAAAAAAAAATACTTATATATATAAGCAAGCCATTCCTATACTATAGAAAAAACATATGAATTTCCGACTTTGTTTATTATAAGATTTATCATTTTTTCTACCCTTCAGAACCGATTTACTACTTAAATTATTCAAATACAGAAATCATTTTTCTACATTCTCATGTATTGGTTTACTATCTCCCATAAACAACGCTGCAATAAACATTAAAACACTATATATTGTTAAAAGCGCAAAGGTGAATTGAAATGCTAACACATAAGCGTGAATGACCAATAGCCGTGTATCTGGTGGTAATGATTGTATAGAATATACGGATTGTGTTGAAAAAGACGGAGGTAAAGTTAAAGTACTTAATTCTTGAGAAAGTCTATTATTAAATGCTGTTCCTGACATTGCAACTCCAAAAACACCCCCAACTAAAGAGAAAAAATATAGATAATAAATTAGTAAAATAATTTAAATTTGCAAAAAAAATTTTTTTTTTTTTTTTGAATACTTACGGTTCCTAAAGAAAAATGATAATGTAGTAGCCGAGGCTATATCCTTCGGCTCAGCCAATCCTTGAATGCATAATGTAACAACTTGAAGACTTGTGCCCATTCCAATTCCACCAATTAACATGTATCCTATATATTCACCATTTCCAGTATCTTCTTTCCATATAATGGCTAATCCGGCACCAATTATTATCAATACCGAAGCAATTAGAGTTACTAATCGAAACTGTATTTTGTCTGTTAGAGAGAATAATTGACCGGTCAGGAATAAGAAAGCTACCACACCAAGAATGTAAGGCAAAAACTCTAATCCGGATTGTGTAGCTGTTTAAAAGAAACATATAGATTGTTAAATTTATTTGTATGTTTAACGAGAAATATGAGATTTAGTTGATAGATATACTTGCCTGAATCACCTTTTATAACTTGGAAGTAAAGTGGTATATAAAAAATATAACTAAAGAATACCATTCCTTGGAAAAAGAATGTGAAAAAGCATGAGACTATATTAAGATTTGTAAATAAACGTGCTATTAAACAGAGAAAACAATTTTTAGCAACAATATTATAATAGATTAATTAATATAATTCTTGCAAATAAATCAAGTCATGAATACTTACATGGAGCAACGGGTTCAGTAACGATATAATTTTCAACAAGACCGAATATTATGTAACCGAGTGCACCGACACATAAAAGTATTATAATTACGGGGCTATTCCAAGGATAAGTACTGCCACCCCAATTAAGAGCCAATAAGATACAAACAGTTGATGAGATCATTAAAATGGTGCCAATAATATCAACTCTTTTAATTTTATCAAGTAATGAACCGGGTGGTTTTGGTAAATGAAGAAACTTAACCACAGAGACTATTGTTATTGCACCTAAAGGAAGATTAATAAAAAAACACCATCTATTTTTTTGAGAAAATAAATTTAGTGATGAGTTTTACGATTGACACAATACAAAACGATAATAATAATATTATTATTACTAAAGTTTTTTGAGCCAAATAAGGTAACCCCTTGACATGCATACCTCCAACTGACATGATCAGTAAAAGCACCACCCAAGAGAGGTCCTGTAACGGAAGCAATACCATAGCATGCACTAAGAGCGCCCTGGTATTTTCCCTGATCTTTAGAGCTAACAATATCTGTAATTATAATTAAGACGAGACTAAAAAAGAAAAATTAAAAATAAAAGATTTAGCATGCATAAAAATTTTGATACAAATATATAGCAATGAAGCACGTACCCAATTATACCATCACCTCCGATGCCAGAGATTGCACGGAATATTATCAGTGAAACCTAAAAAAAAAAGTGATGAATATTTAAATTAAGAATTGAGAAAATGAAAAATATAAGATAAGTTATTTTACCATATTAGTAGAAACACCACACAACAAACTGCCTAATTCAAAGATGATAATTGCAGCTAAGAATGTTGTTTTACGACCAAAAATATCAGATAATTTTCCATAGATTGGTTGAAAGGAAGTCTGAGTCGATAACATGATTCGCGTGAGTGTCATATGATATATAATTCGAGCGAAGTGGAATCAATGTATAATATTATTACCGCTGTGAGTAGATAAGAAGTTGCAACCCATGAGATTTGATCCAATCCATTAAAATCTGAAGTATTTTAGGTAAAGCAGTGGAAACAATTGTTTCATCTAAGGTGGCTAAAAATATAGCACATCCTAGACTATAATATGGTAAATAAAACTAAATTAATAATTTGATCATTTAATTAGAACAACAGGAAATTAATCTCTACGAACCCAAAAACAACTAAATATAATTCAATTCCATGTAATAAAGTACCATTAGACAATGGCGAGCTATTGTCTTTAACGATCTGATCATCGACATTTTTTATATATTTTATGGTTACAGTCGCATCTGATACTAACGTTGCTTGATGTTCAAGGTCTATTTTATTTTCTGATGTGGATTGGTTTTGTGCCATTGTTTTTGCAACTGCTAATTATGAATAATGCTATGTGTGCTTTGTATACTTTGTATACTTTGTAAGTTGAATGCTATGCTATAATATTAAATTTAATTTTTTTGTAGAAATTAAACTGGTAAACCTAATTGAAGAATATTACAAAGATTAAGTGGAAACAAAGAATCTATAAGACAATTTACAAGTCGAAAATTCTCTAAAGTCTACATCTTTCGAAACTTCGGTCTTTTATAATTTTTCTTTTTGATAAAAGGGGGTTTGGGTAGAGATGGGCATTCTGCATTATGTGTATTACTTTATGCTAAAGATAATGTCGCATAATGTATTGTAGACATTTTAAACTTTAAAAGTGCACATAGAAATTACTATATAATTTTAATGCAACAAAAATTAATAAAATACTATATTTTATATTATATGTAATACTAAGTGATATCCTGCATTATACAATGCAGAGCCAAAAAAATATGCATTCGCACATCTTTAGGTTTGGGCCAAAACCCGGCAAACAGAATCCCGACAGGTCATAATCCCGACAAAAAAATCTTGACATTCAAAAATCTGACATTTAAAAAATCCCGACAATTAAAAATTCTGATAAAAAATGTCATAAACATAGCCTAACCCTCATTTAAAATGACCTAACCCTAAAGTAAATTAAATTATAAGTGTCTAATTCGCTTTAAACATATCCCATATTTTGGATTTTTTTACTTGAAAATTCTGATTGTCGGGATTCTTAATTAGGCCAGACCAAGTTGATTATGTGTTTTACATTACCCCCCCTCCTCAGAGCTCCCCTCTCCTCAGAGCTCCCCCCCCTCATAGTAAAAAAAAAATTTTTTAAAATTTTACTATGTGAACCACCCCTCCTCCCCCCCCCCCCCCCCCCCCGGAAGGGGGGGGGGGGGGAATGTAAAACCCCAAAACAACTTGGTGCGGCCTTTTCGGGTTTTTGGAC